TCCTATACACTACTACTATATATACATGATCCTCTCTCTACTTCCTTCTGGGCAGCTTGACTTATTATTCTACGATATAGTATACAAGCAGCATCAATGTTGCTGGGTCTTTCATAAGTACCATTTAACACTTCTGTCGGTTTTATATCCACTACCAACACAGAAAAGAACATATTACAGTAGCACCCATTGCTCTCTCACCAAAGCAAACATGGGGACTTCTACTACGAGTCTATCAGACGATAGACTGCTCAGCATAAGCCGCACCGAACCATCATCCACTCCGGTTTCTGAGAATGAGCAGCAGGCTATTTGGAAAACCTGCTCGGTCTTCCAGAGGAAGATGTTCTTGGGGGCTACCTATTTCAGTGAAATTGATATGACATCAAAAGATTTACCAGTGATCGTTCGCGCAAAACTGTTTCGATCACCGGGAAAAGACGCCGTGACCATGGAAAAAGTCCTGGATTGCAATCTGGGGAACTCACTCGATTGCACCCGCGTCGGAGGTATGCATGAACCGCCTATGGATTATGTCTACTGCGAGGTCCTGTACCAGCCTATCATGACTTAAGAAGAAGTGTATTCTATATGGGCCAGAGGATACAGTTATTGCAGACGCCGCGGAGAAAGATATCCACGGCATAGCCACAATGGCCGCGCATGCAGATACACATGCCGCACACTCGAAGAGGGAGGTTCCATCGATTCAGAACCCGGCCTTCTCTCGCTTCTGTCACGCCAGAGGTACTCCAGCTACTTGGCTTACAAGCTGGGTAAGATGCAGCAGCAGGTTCCATCGAATCCGATTCCTGGCCTTCTCTCGCCTCTGTCATCCTTGACAGACTGTGTTGGACGGACGGGACGGCGTGAGTTCCTCAGTCGTGCTATCTTACCCAGTCACACAGCCACAGACTGAGCGAGAAGAAGCAGCAACAGGTTTCATCTATTCCGACATGGGGCCCATTGTCCTCCCCTTGGAAACAAGCACCGAAAAAGCACTGTCGACGTCCCGGTGAACTCGGACAATGTCCGACCATCTATGCCTTGACGAGAATCTGGCTTGGCCAGGCCCCTCCCTTTTCTTACTCCTCTGGCAGACTATCAGCGTATATTAGGTCCTAGTCAGGAATGCACTTTCTATCCGGGGAGGTCTTCTCGCCGATGAATATGACCTGGGGAAGAGGGTGACAACCCTAACTGCCATTAACGAAGACAGTGCGACCAACGTCATCCACCGTTCCTCCCTCATTTTGTGCTCTACCGCCATAATAATACATAGTTCACAGAGATCGAAAAGAATGTTTCGCAATCATTGTTTTCAACGGCCAGGCCGTCCACACTGCCGAACTGGCACACAGACAGGTGGCCATATTCGCGCTCGCGTCTACCTAATCGAGAGGAAGTGATCCAATCACCTCCGATGTGACTCGTGCTAGTAAAAATGAAGTTATTTCTATTCATCTCCAACCTTCATTTCCTTCTTTTTTATACCAAGCTGCTATGGTATCAGTAACTTCGAAGTGCACTCAATTTCCACCACGACCTTCGTTACTCGACCCTCTTGCCCGTCTCGATGCTAGCGGCACCCCAGATAAGCTGCACGATTATACCGTCCTCGTATGCCACATGCCCTGGTCGAGATATTCTCCAACACGATCGCGAAGTCCGACAATGACGACGACCGCTCATCTCTTAATGAAGAGAAGAAACGCAGTATTGAAGAGCTACAGGCGACCTGATAGTCACCTACAATAAAATATATGGCAAGATATAAATCATAGCAGATTAACAGACAATCAACGCTACCAGCCAATAGCATGTCCGACAAAATTGAAGATAGTCCTAACAAATGCTCATTGAGTACTAGTGCTGCAGAGCATCGGGAATGATGGGTCCCATATCTACAAGTGGGAGTTGAGTCTGGCAGCACTGATCCAGAATATATTACATACCATTTGAACATCCCAAACTCCATGAGGTACGCTCAAGGTGCTACTACGCCAGCATATAAGCCGGAGTGTATATATACTATGGCTGATAAATCAATTAATTCCAACGGGTTAACTCTCGCGGCTTGATGGTATCTGCCACCTTGAACAGAGTCAGCTTTCTAAATAGTTCGTCTTGCACTTCCACAGAATCTTCTTAGCTCCCAGGTTCAATTTATATCATGATCTGATCAGCTCACCACGGCTCTCGAAAGGTTAAGCAGAGCGATTGTCGAAAGTGCGCAGAGATGTACGCATACATACCATGAGTAATGAGCGGCCTTGCTCAGGATCAATGCCAATGTTTCTGTGGTTATGGAGCTCGTGGAGTTCTGATCAGTGTGGTGCACTGAAAGAAAAAAAGTGTCGCTATTATCACGACATATGCAGACCAGAAGAAAGAGTACGTCCGCCGAATGATGAAGTTACCGGGAGGCTCAATATAGCTTGGGAGGACATGGTAAAGTTGCTACTGTTGACTCAATGCAGGGTCGCGCATACAGGTTAATGTCTAACTGGAGACCAGGGACATGGACTTCTGGGAGGGCCTGTAATGTGATAACCTCAACCCGGAAATATGGAGGATTGCGTGTTATATGTTCAGGAATGTACCGAATCTAGGAGAAATTGTCCAGTATAGGATTCTTATAGCGGGTCTCCAAACTAAGCGATATCTTCTTCCGTACCAGGTGTACGGTGCCATCTGAATGTTGGCGTGTGAGGTGACGACCTACTTGCGCGGCGGATTTTTGGCTGATGACGTTGGCTATGGCAAGGTTGGTGCTCTCTGTTTTACCGTGTTCCATGTCCGCCAGCTAATTTTCTAATCTAATAGACACTCATGACCATTCTGACTGTGCTGGCCTTGAGATGGATTGAAATTATTATGCAGCGAGCTTGCGCCAATCCTTACACCGGGCTTGATGATACTCCCTGCGGACATGACACAGACTTCCCCATCTGATATTACTGCTGACTGAGCGCGCTGAATCATATACTCTCCAAAATCCGCCGGGGCGCCAACTATATCTCCGTGGAAGCCTTCCTCCTTAGAAACTGGATCAGGGAGTAGGAGTTGACTGTCGATCCCAACGACCTCCATATCCGCGCAATGGTCGTGCTCCAGGGATACGCGAGGACTCGCCAATCGAATATCCCGACCTGGCGCGCGTCGCCCGCTGCCCTGGCCCGTCCGTTTGAGGACTATGTCCGCCAATTATACCGATGGGTAGAGGAAATCCTGTTTGAAGACGACCATGCGTGAGTACAAACTCCATATCATAATATACACCCATTGCTGACATAGTCTTTATCCGGTTATAGTCCTCCTGCTCGGCCTGGTGATAATGCTGAGAACCCCCTCGTCGTCCCCGAGATTGACGATGAAGCCGCCACTTCTTGATGGTGAGTACCCCCCGGTTCATAACACGCAGGGTTACGCTGACTCTGGGGGTTGTAAATAGGCGCGTGTAGGTTTTCATAGTAGACCCTTCGTTGAGATCCTTAGATATCAAGTTCGCCATGGGATGAAGTAGATGAGATTTCTGGCAAAGCATAATGTTATCTAGCAAGATATACCGACGTAATCAATTAGTTCAAGCACAGAACTGCCAGAATAACTACCTATGGTACTCAAAAAAAGAAAAAGAAAAAAAAAAAAAAAAAAAAAAAAAAAAAAAAAAAAAACCGGGACTTTGTAGTTTTACTCCAGTAAGGGCTTTAGCCGATTAACGTGTTCCAACGCACAGTGCAGATGCAGCTTTTCATGCCCGGACTTGAGAAATGATAAGCGGGGCAATTGCAGCGGGCTGAACGAGTCGAAGTTCTAGAAGTGCGAAAAGTATAGTATACAGTGAGACTTGCCTAAACGGGGAAGGGGGGTTACCGTGACCGGTGTCTGTTAGATAGTGGTAGTAGCTGATTGCTAGTTAGTTATATCGAGAGTAGTCGAAGATTATCTAACTCAGGACAGCAGTTTGGCTGACTAGTAGATAGAAGATCAAGTGTTTCTATAATTATGTTAGAACTGATTTTCGAGCTCCCGCGGTAGTAGTAGTATTTCGTTTTCCCTCCCGTGACTGCTGTAGCCGATACTCTATATTGCTGATGTACTCCGTATAATGACCCTGGGACACTTGTCTAATTGTTTCCCGAGGCATCGGTATCATCCTGCTGCTCACGATTTATTTATACATTGTAGCCGTTTTTTATGCTAATAGAGGGGTTTCTGCTTAGCTTTATGCATTATAGTTTATTCGATACACACTAAGTTTTTGAAACATACAACATGACTCCTTCATCCGATAATCTTGAGTCCTCCCTTAGTCTTTCCGTGCTTTTTGACGCCATCATGCTTGACCTTACCACTGCCGGAGCCACCACCCGAACCGCCGCCACCACCATGCTTCTTCCCATTTTTCGTGTTGGACACGGGACGGACTTCCGTGGTGGCTCGTCGGAGCAGAACCGGATGCGAGCCAATGTACTTGCCCTGCATCTCTCTCGCGGCCTTGAAATAGTCGTCGCCGTCGCTGAAACTGACAAATCCGTAACCCTTACTTTTCTGGGTACGTTTGTCGCGGATTACTCGGGCCTTTTGAACGGAGGTGAACTTGGAGAATGCCTTGAGTAGCGAATCGTCCGTGACTTCACCAGCCAGGTTGCCTACAAACAAGCGAAAGTGTGCGGGATCCCACTCGAGGAGGGTCGAATCGGACCAGGTCTGACCACCTCCGGCACGAACCACAGTCTTCGGTGCAGGCTCCGGGTTACCCACGGTGGGTGCTGGCGTGTTAGCCGCTGTATTGGAACCGGATGGGGTGTTGGCACCAGACGCGGGACCAGCAACACCCGGGTTAACACCTGGGCGACCAGGAACCTTGCCGGCTACGGGCATCTCCTCCTTGTTTACATAGGCACTCTGCCACTGTGCAATCTGGGCTTCCGTTTCAGGGTCCAGCCCCGATTCATTCCGGCCAAAGTTCCTCCCACGCATGCCATAGGCGCCTGACTGATCCCCCCCTGCTGGCGTGAAGGGGTTTTGAATCCGAGGTACAGACGGACCGTATGTGTTATCATTGTACTGAGCGGCCCCGTAGTAAGAAGGGCCGCTTTGATATGAAGCTTGCGCCTGAGGGTAGTAGCCACCGTAACTGCCCGTGGTCGGTGTCGAATATCCGCTGGATGTAGTGGGCGGAGCGGACACGACGGGGCTGCTGGTACGGTAAGATTGACTCGAAGCTACTGAGCGAGGCTGGAATGCTGTGATGGCGCTGTAGCCCGGTCGAGACCCGTTTCCGCCATAGCTGCTGTTTGCGCCTGACGGTGCCGCCGAATATGCAGGTTGAAAGGTAGATGGTGAGGCTGCGCTTGCTGTTGCCGGTGGCCGGGGAGGGAGAGATGACGGAGCTTGTCTGAGACCTGGAGGTGGCGGAAAGGACATGATGAACGGAGAGTCCGATATATAGTATAGAGAGAAAGGTGGTGGATGATGTGATGCGCCGTGTGCAAACTAGCAGCAGACACGTACCTTCAGGGTTTGACTGACGCAGCAGTCATACGCCAGACGTCACGCCTGAAAAAGGTTCCGAATCTTGATGAGAGAAAGGACTGGTGACGAGCCTTTCTAGATCTTTCCTTGCACTAGTACAGAGACAGGTGAGTAGACAGGAGGAGAAGTGGTGGTGGAATATCTAACAATTCCTTGCTGTAAAGTGTGAAGAGGCGACGGCGGTGCTGATAGTCAGATGGGTAGTGTATCGAGTGATTGCGAACCGTGTGCTGTTGGAAGGTTCGGGTTGGCAAGTTTGGTGGCCCAGGTGGCCCAGATGACGGATGAAGTCCAGCGCGGCAGGAGAGAAAAGACCGCATGAATGGTTTTTCTCGCCTCCCGTTCGATGCAAACCGGGCATTGCCTATACCACGTGACTTGAACCATAAGAGTCACGTGAAACAGCTGGCCGGCCAGGCTGACCTCCTGAGTCAGCCAGCCAAGCACAACTTTTGAGCCCCCAACGGATTTCCCACATGTGATGCAACCCCCACCCTAAGCCCCTTTGGGAAATGCAGTAGCCGACCGCCGGGGGGGAGGATCGTCCCTATAGGAGGACATCGTGCCAATTCCATCACGAGAGGAGAAAAGACCAGTGCGGGATGAAGATAAGAAGTCCCCGGAAATAGCGGCCAGTTTCTCCGGCTTATGGATTTTCTCCTCCGCGGGGGTCTAGATACCCAACAATTTCCGATGGCTGGGATACCGAAGGGCCATCGAAAAGCAGAACATACTAATGACAATTGACACACTACATACAGGAGGAAGTCCGATGCCGTACCCGATAGATAGGCATTATTGATACACTAGAATGAGGTGATGGAGGAACCACTGTCTGAACCAACAGTAACAGTGAATTACTGTTCGTAGTTAGACAAGATGCGGAAAAGTGGAGGGGAGACCGATTTATCCGCCTCCGAAGGTGCTTCACCGAACGTGTTCTGGGAAGTCTGGGAATTTCGGTCCCTTTTTTGACTGTTGCTGGGCCGATGTAGGAATTAGGAAACGCGGGCTTTTTTACTTGCGTTACGGGCGTATTTTGCTGCGGCCGGCAAGTGCCCCTCCATGCCCCGCCATGTTTGAAGCTCCTTGCAACACCGTCATCTCCGAACATGTCATCCCCAGGGAATCAATTGGCGATTGGAGTCGAGTACTGTAGTGTCTGTCATCAATAAGGAATTGATGAAACTGAAATCTTCAATCTGGAAGAAAGAATAATGTAGAGGTCGTATTTTACGAGGATGACAGTGAAAATGGTGGGGGGATTTTTATAGCAGTAGATGGAAGTAGTATAGTATGTATGCATGCTTGTTGTATTACCCAAACCAAATTTAATTTCAAAGAAAGAACAGCCATCACTACTACATATTAGATATTCCTTACTATAGTTACTCACATAACAATAATTACTCACCAACAACCATCTATCCGCGGGCTTCCATGTATGTTCCGGTACCAAACTCCCTCTCCCACCGGTGTACTGACTTAACTACTACTAAGTCTTGTTCACCGGAGGACTCTGCTCCTCTCTTGCTCAGGTGCTGCCCCGCCCTCCGTCCCACCATGACGGAAGAGCTGCTCCGTAAGCCGTCCAGTTGCAGCGAATCCTGCTCTGACATCTTCGAACGCCTTCTCCCTTTCGCTCGCTTCTCTTCCTCTTCCTCTCTTTCCCTTTCTTCCCCTCCAAACTAAAACCTTCCTCCTCCTCTCCATCTTCCTCTAGGCAGTTAGTTCTTCCTGACTGTACATATATCCACCACCTCCCCCTCTCCTCTACTTTTCCACCTCTTCCCATATCTCCATCTCCAGAGTCTCATACCCCCCACTATTTCATCATGGCTGACCAAGCTGTGTAAGTACCCTGCGGTTACCATTGTTCTCTCCTCCTTTCTTCCCCTATCCCTTTCCAAGCCTACATGTCCCTCAATCATCTGCTTTCCCCCACAGCTTGGTACCCCTCCGACGCATCAATGTATGAGCCGGGAGAGATTCAGCTGTTCGTGAGTCAGCTGGAGAATGAAAAGACTGCTTCATATGGCTTCCAGGATCCATCTTCCATTGTTTAGTGGTGATGGTGCAATGGACCGCCAGCTTCGTGGGGTTTGCGTCTCGACGTCATAGTAGCGTTAGAGGCAACGCAGCTTCACTCGTCACCCCCCCCAATTGTCACATTTCTGCCCAGCTATTGACAGAGGATTTGGCAACTGACTTTAGCGCCCGTCTCGCCGGCATCAATGTCGGCGCTCCGGCGCGTCCTTTGCCTAGTGCTGATTTCGGTCTCATCGGTCTGGCCGTTATGGGTCAGAACCTGATCCTTAACGCTGCTGACCACGGCTTCACTGTTTGCGCCTACAACCGCACAACCTCCAAGGTTGACCGCTTCCTTGAGAATGAGGCCAAGGGTAAGCTCGCTCTGCCAGGATGCATCTCGGCCCTCGGATCGACTAACATTTCGGATCATCAGGCAAGCCCATCGTCGGTGCTCACTCCGTTGAGGAGTTCTGCGCCAAGCTGAAGCGCCCCCGTCGTATCATGCTCCTGGTCATGGCCGGAAAGCCCGTTGACCAGTTCATCGAGTCTCTCCTGCCCCACCTTGAGAAGGGTGATATCATCATCGACGGTGGTAACTCCCACTTCCCCGACAGCAACCGCCGTACCAAGTACCTCGCCGAGAAGGGCATCCGCTTCGTCGGCAGCGGTGTCTCCGGTGGTGAGGAGGGTGCCCGTTACGGCCCCTCTCTCATGCCCGGTGGTAACGAGGAGGCCTGGCCCTACATCAAGGACGTCTTCCAGAGCATCTCCGCCAAGAGCGACGGCGAGGCCTGCTGCGACTGGGTTGGTGACGAGGGCGCTGGTCACTTCGTCAAGATGGTCCACAACGGTATTGAGTACGGTGACATGCAGCTGATCTGCGAGGTAAGCTTGAGTCCATGCAATGATTGAATATAAGTGTATGGCAACTGACTCATATGTTATAGGCCTACGACATCCTCAAGCGTGGTCTTGGTCTCCCCGCCAAGGAGATCGCCGATGTGTTCGCCAAGTGGAACAAGGGTGTTTTGGACTCTTTCCTCATCGAGATCACCCGTGACGTCCTTTACTTCAACGACAACGATGGCACTCCCCTCGTTGAGAAGATCCTCGACAAGGCTGGTCAGAAGGGTACCGGCAAGTGGACCGCCATCAACGCCCTCGACCTTGGCATGCCCGTCACTCTGATCGGCGAGGCTGTCTTCTCTCGCTGCCTGTCCGCCCTCAAGGACGAGCGTATCCGTGCCAGCAGCCTTCTCGACGGCCCTACCCCCGAATTCACCGGTGACAAGCAGGCTTTCATCGATGACCTCGAGCAGGCCCTGTACGCCTCCAAGATCATCTCCTACGCCCAGGGCTTCATGCTCATCCAGGAGGTAAGTCTGTCCACAGTATGGTTAACATCCTTTCGGCCACTGACAAGTTACTATAGGCTGCTCGTGAGTACGGCTGGAAGCTGAACAAGCCCTCCATTGCCCTCATGTGGCGTGGTGGTTGCATCATCCGCTCCGTCTTCCTCAAGGACATCACCAACGCTTACCGCAAGAACCCCGACCTTGAGAACCTCCTGTTCGACGAGTTCTTCAACACCGCCATCAAGAAGGCCCAGAGCGGCTGGAGAAACGTTGTTAGCAAGGGTGCTCTCTGGGGTATCCCCACCCCCGCTTTCAGCACTGCCCTCAGCTTCTACGACGGCTACCGCACCCGCGACCTCCCCGCCAACCTGCTGCAGGCCCAGCGTGACTACTTCGGTGCCCACACCTTCCGCATCAAGCCCGAGCACGCCAGCGAGACCTACCCCGAGGGCAAGGACATCCACGTCAACTGGACTGGACGCGGTGGTAACGTGTCTGCGTCCACCTACATTGCCTAAACGAAAATGCGATGTAAAACGCTGGACGTGGAGCCTCGCACTGGTCTAGCATGGGAACAGGCTGGGCTAGAAACAGGAGAGTTAACTAGTCGGGCTCCCCTGAGCACATAAACAAGAATGATGACGATCAAAACGACCAGCAAAACAGGAAATGAATTTCTATTATATTTTCATTAACATGTATCTAGATGTTGATTTTCTTTTTCTTTTTCTTTTTTTGATGGGAAAAACGTATGGAATGAAATAGTCTGACGTTTCTTTTCACCAGTATTTCATACTGTAGTATAATAGTAGATTTAATAATCCTGAATCCTAATGAGTAGTGGGACGAATAAAGGATGTAGTTCCGAAGAGACAGAATAACAGTTGGGGCTGGTGAAAGAGCAGCCAACTGGTGGTGATTGCCGGAGGTGCTGTCCGCCCTGGACTAAACCGGATTGGGCGACGGGAAGGTCGTGACTCCCTTTCGGCGGCCATCGTGTCAATCCAATGGTGCACAATCACACCACCATTCTGCCCAACTACATGCCAGGACGCTGAGGAGCTTTCCTCCCGGGCTGGTTGTACTTTATTGGCGTCGTATTCACTTCTGTGTTTGTTGTTTTACTGGATATTTTATGTCTTTACTTTTTGTCGTTCCTTTACCCAACTACGACTAAGCTGCGGTTCCCGCCCGTCCCACTTTTGCTTGCTCCGCGCTCGAGTGCCATCGTCATTGCTGGTAACGACCGTGGCTTCCACCTAGCCTGGAATCCCATTCCGATCGATCATTTCGACCTGCGCTTGACGTGACTAGCCCTCACCGTGAGCAATCGTGTGCTTGGGGCATTTTAGACTCATTCCGCCTTTGTTCCCCTGCAGAGACAGCCCAGCTACTGCCTGACTGTGGAGCCTGTCCTGTCCTGCACTGCTCTTGGTGGGATAGTTCAACTGTCTCCTGCCCGAGCATATGGCAGATAACAAGCGCCACAGCGTGGGAGCAAGAACATCTGCACAGGGATCGTCTGGCGCAACTGCAGGCCAGGGAATGGCTGGTGCCATGGTGCCTTTGGAGGTGGCATTGAGCCGTGCAATTGGCGCACGGTAAGCCTCGACCTATCATAGCACTGTTGAGCAGAGTTCCGTCTGTCCAGCAAGTGCTAGCACCTGCATCCCTTTGCCAGAAAGCCTCTGGATGGATGTATAGAGATCTCAAGTTCATGCTGATGTTGTGTTATGTACAGTGTTCGTATCAGTACATCTCCGGTCGCCTCCACCATTGAGGGGACTCTGTTCACAGCCTGTCCGATCACAAACCTCGTTGCCATCAATACTGCCGAAGAAGGCAAGTCACAGACCGGCGATTACCACGTCATCCCGGTGTCGCGCATACAATCCTTCCAAGTTCTCTCTTTGTCTCCGTCCAACACCGATGGGGCTTCTTTCTCTGACGCCGTACCGCCTTTGCACGCACTTGATATTCGCGCTCTGAAGGCGCGGGAGGCCGCTGCTGTCGGCAAGCTGCAGGAAGGTGAAGCACGTCGAGGCAAGGGAGTCACCAAGGAGGCACAGGATCTCTTTGACGCATTCAGTCGCACAATGCCGGCCCGTTGGGATGGAAGCAAGATCATCGTAGCCGATGCCGTCTCCATTGCGGCTCCTTACCGCCCCGACGACTGCCGGCCGCTTGTGGCGGGTGACACGGCTGCTCTTGCCCGAGTACGCATGGTGGTAAGTTGGCCGTATACCACAATACAGGATTTATCTGACAGTTGGATAGCTCGAGATGGAGCGTAAGAAGATTGAACTGCGCAACGCGAGTGCAACTATTGGTAAGCCTAATACCATCCGTTTGGGACGGACCCGCTTGTATGAGCATGGCGACTAACAGTCTGACTCTAGGAGCCGGTGCTGCTGGACAACGTAAAGGGGGCTGAATACGACTTCCTATATTTTATTACCCATCTGAAAGGCTCCATTTTGCCTCTTAGGTGCAGTGCCGGGGATGACTTGCGTGGGATCCATTTATCCATGAACGCAATTTAGCGAATGATAAACCGGAGAATACGAGTTCTCCCTGATTGTCAATTATACACGGAAAGGATTGCGCGAGGGGCCATGGTCGACGGTCCTTTAAGCAGGCGCAGACATGGACAAGGGCGGCATGGCTCATACAGAAGCGGACTTGTACTTGACCAATGCTTGGTGCAGCGGACAAGCTTTCTGTCCTGGAAACCAGCGCATCATATAGGTCGGGAATGGAGCCTTGCCTTCTGGCATGTTCTTTAGATTTATTTCCATTAGATACAGGGGCGGCATGAATATGAGACCTATCTGATCGATTTATCTCCATTCTATGAACGACTACTGTATTAACCAGTTGTGCCATCAAGCAGCACATGTCCCATCAAGAATGACCGTCTCCGTACAGAACAACAATCTACACCCTATCTCCGTCTCGGTAATCTTTTAAAAAAAGAAATAGAATTCGATAAGACCACCAAATGGAGTCAAAATTGAGTTCCCTTTCTCCGACAAAGCAACGACTGATTATTAGTTGCTTGATGTGTATATTGCATATTGATGGGAGATTACTTATGGGAATACAATAAGTAGTTCTGTTCAGCTGAGGTTTACCTTTGGTACTATTGAACCACTAGATGATTAGATCCGGAAGAGAGAGAGAGAGAGAGAGAGGTAATGCTTTTTGCTGGGATGTGGGGGTGAGCATATAGTGCGTGTGCTGAGTGAGTTGATTAGATTGTGCTTGACGGTCATGCGCTTGGGTTAACCTTACCAGGCTTATCTAGTATAGTATATTTATTGGTCTATGTGTAGTGGTGCAGGTAGACTGCTAGCTGCAGTTGGGTAATGGATTGGGTGGATAGTATATCAGAGATAACACACACACTCTCTCTCTATCAATTATAACAAACACAGCATAAGAATCCTCCAGTAGAAATCCCTACTATAATCCGAGCAACAAAAGTAGCCAAACAACTGGTAGTAGTACTTATCACATAGTAATATTTCAATTGCACCAATTCCTATACTGAATCTCTGTAACTACCATAAGCCCCATACCCCCACCCCTTCTTACCAATTACTATAAACCCCCTTCCCCCTCCTACAAGCACTCGGACAAGGCGCCAAGGCCCGTCCACTCCCCTTACATCTCCCACACTTATGCCACAGATTCTTGACCCAGCTGCCTGCACCCCTGCAACTCGGACATGTCACTCTTCGAGCGAAGAATGTGCCCGTGTTCACGACCGTCGTGCCCCCGCATCGATCGCAGACCGTGCGTGTCGATTTCCACCATCCGCCGGAGCCTTGGCAGTTTGCGCATGTGGTTGTGATCGCGCCGGTGTTGGCGCACGTGGGGCATTTGCGGGGCATTGTTGTTGTCTAGTATCTCTTGGTTGTTGGTTGGGGGGGGGGAGGGAGAGGAGGTGTATATGTGATAAAGGGAGGTAGCTGGTTTTTGTGGGATGAGGGTGTTAGTTGCAGTATACTGGTTATTAGGGTTGTGTGGGTTGTGAGTAAGTAGAAGGGGAGGGTACAGTCTGATATGTTGTGACTGTGGATGATGTTGATGTTGGGGGTATAGGAGGTTGATAGGGAAGAGTATTCTTTGCTTATTAATTATGTCTTGATTGATGAAGGTCTATTCCAACTGTTAGTACCAGATGAAGTGATCTGGTTAGATTTGAATTGCTAGTTATACTATTTATTGACCTTGCGGCTCTGGTCATTTCACATTGCTATAACTGCATAGACTAATAGACAAGGAATCGACCCCAAGGTCAGTTGTATAAATATAAGAGCATTAATTATACTACTTCTAGTCCAGAACCATGCTATACCATTCAGCTACGTAGTTGGTACAGTGTGAATCCTATGCATAAAAGTTATCTTATGCTTGAAAGCCAAGAAACCACTTTACAAAGTACTCTAGTCTCTGGCGCGTGGAATGGCTCGGACCGAACCCCAAGAAAAATCCTTCAAGTTCTGGCCAGTGGCATACTCCCACATATCTTACCTGCATGGACCACGTATCTGTCACGAGGTGAAGTTGATCCTTCGGCGTGATGAATTTAGGATGATGTTTGTTGGAACCGCTTGTAGCGCATCTGCCTTGCGTGAGGTAGATTGTAGGCTGTGGTTTGGTATATAGGGTGGTTTTATGGGTTGGGTATTAGGAGGTCATATGGAGGGAACTATGGTCATATGAAGGGAGGGAATTATGGTGGTGCAGGGTGGTAATGGTTCGTGGTCTGTTGGAGATGGTATTGAGGCCTACTATGGGAGTTCTGAGAAGTAATAATCTGAGTAGTATTGAGAGAAGAGTATTGAGATGCTGAGCTGCTGTTCCTTTGATGGTTGTTGATGCGGCATGTGTACATTGTCTGTAGTATTTCACTGCGGGGAGTTTGAGATCTAGATACTGCAAAAATAGAATTAGCCTTGGAACTCGTAAGTTAGTTTAATTGTCAACCCTATCATTTCTTGTCATATCGAACCCCTTGGGACGAAACAAGAGATCTCCAGTAGAAAGAGAGTGAGAGGGGTACAAATGTTATAATTATCTCTCGAAATATAACATGACCTTTTCCACAGAATCACTTGAAGTCCCACATGCACGTGGGAGATTGTGAAAGGTTCCACGAACATGTTCGCTCTTCCAGGAAATCGTCGAGTTGCACTTGTCCTCAGTCCTAAGAATGTGATCATGTTGATTCTAGTTGGTCAGCGTAGATACTTGTGTGGATGGACAGGAGGACTGGAATAAATCTTGAGTGCATGCACAAGCATATTTGTGACATTGGTCTCCATTGTCCGTCTCGTGGTTTCGACCTATACCATACCCAAGGGTTCACGTCATATAGATAGCAGGTTTATATCCCCAGAGTGCGGACTTTTTATGCTTACACAAGATTAACTTGCTTTCATCTGGTCAGAAGAAATATCTTACTACTATATTTTCTATGGTCTTCAAACGTTAAGAAGGCTTTCCTCTTCTTCATATATTGAGATCCTATCCATGTATGGAGTAGTAAAGTATAATAACGGTTACATACTAAGTAGTGCTGTGACCCAACAAGAAAAAATCTCTAGAAGAGATACACTTAACCACCTGTATGATAGTAACACAAATAAGGAAAGATAGATAAACCAGGAGCTACGATATCCACGATATTCGGGTGATTAAATTACTCGCATGTTGGATGTGTTTATATTGGCAACATCAATACAATTTGGAATAATATGCAGTTAACTGTTGTTTGGTTGTTTATGTCCTCAAAATAATAACTTGTTGTCATCGACTGAGAATGCCAAGTTGTATACGTTCAGTGCGTGCTTCAGAGCGATCAGTGAGTGCGCAGGAGAGCTGGACGGGACAAACAACTTCAGTAATGTCACTACTATTATTTTCTCCGGAGAAATAATATCAGCAGCGGCTTATCTACTAGCCCCATGAGAACATAACTAAACTTTCAGAGATGTTGAAGCGTGGCTGACTGACAGACAGACAGAGAGAATTTCAATAAACTACTGTGTAGTAGATAACTTAGTAGCTCGAACTATTGATTGCATTGCGGGAGGAAAATAGTGTGATGAGTGACAATGACTTAGTCTGTGCTTACTGCAGCTGTTCAGCCCTCACATACTAGTATGGAAAAAGGTTCAGGCAAGGCAAGGGAGTGTTGTAGAAAAAGAAAAAAAGGCAAAAGCCACAATGGAATTCTCCGAGCCGCTTGGACCCATTGTACTTTGATGTACAGTAAAGTAGTCTAGTAGTACAGACTCCGTGCATAGTCTAGCATAATAGCATAAGCAAAGAAAAGAAAAAGAAAAAGGGTATGGAAAAGAAGTGAGTGAGTGGAGTGAGTGCATTCCGGGTTCCCTGCAGCACCCGCCCCTCTTCTTGCACCAGAATCGGGATCATCAGTGGATCATCAGATGCAGGTTTAGCATCATGCAGACTGGGCTATTGTATGAACTATGGGATTAGCTAACGCGGGTGCAGGGCTGCATGAGATTGATAGTTTTGTGTGTGTTTGTTCTGTCGATGAGAATCATTTTAGGGCATGGTCTGGTCTACTGTGGGATGTGTTGGTGAAGTCTGCATGGCATAAGTGTGATGACATGATTTGATGGGTGGTGGCGATTGAGACATGGCGAAAAGGAAGGAAATAATGATGACTCAATGAGTTGAGAGGAAGTGGATACAAGGGACAGAAGATCATTCTTCAAACAAATGATCGGTGTTGGGGCCACCCCGCATTATTGATGGAGATGATGGGATGGGATCAGCATACTTTGTGCTTTGAAAGTAGTCTAGCTCTCTCTCTCTCTCTCTCTCTCTCTCGCTGCTGGAGTGTGACCCAAATGAGGGGGCACCTGCTCTGCCCAGGTTCTGGGCAATGAATGGGGCATTGAGAGGGGGACAATGGCATACCTCACTAGCCATATGCACCTCATTCATGAAATCCTATCTATCCAGTCTAGATACCTTGGCTGGGGTGAATTCTATCGGAAAGACGGCCGTCTTGTTCCTGCCGAGGATAAAAGGGAAAAAAGGACCAGAAGCGGCCGTGGATTATTGCATTGGGCGGCACCCAATCAGCCCAGCGATGGGGTCGTGTTTAAAGTTGGATCCAAGGAAGCTCCGAGTCGATTCAGGTCTAACCGCCAAGAGTCGGTGTGAATAATCTATTAGTTGTGATCATGAGAGACGGCACGAAGCGCCGTTTTTCTTCTTTTTTTTTTTCTTACGGTCGGAAATAGTTGTCGACCAGTGTAGACATCAGTAGTAGTAGTAGTAGTAGTAGTAGTGAGGTGGTGGATGTTTCACTACATGTCTACTGTTACTTACTAAATAGTACTGACTTGCCAACAACCATCGGCTATCCGCGGGTTGCTGCTGTTGCTGCTGCTGCTGCTGCTGCTGCCTGATCGCGTGAGGAGATGCTGGTTTGATCCCTCTCTTTCTTGCTACCCTTAGGAGGGAATTGATGATGTTGTTGTTCTTGTTCAATCCTCATATCTTCTCCGTATCAATTGATCGATCGATCTATTGTCTCCACGAGTGATGAAGCTGAAAAGCTCCAGTCGATCGCCAGCCATGGATGATGATCGAGTTAGTCAAGTTAACTCCAAGGGAAGCAATTAATGCTGACCCCGGATCGGCCGGAAGGGACCAAAGACCCGAAGGAATCTAGAAAACGAGGATCCCCGCTCCGAATCTGGGAAGGTTGGCTGATGACTTGTCGAGCTGAGCAGAACATCCAGCATCATTTGACAAAGTAGTAGTAGTACACAATTCTTGACTAGACTAACATTGTTCCAATAGGGGCAAAACCACACACAGGACAGGACAGAAGATGAAAAACAAAGGGCCCTTGGTTGAGTCTTCTTTTTGAGACGCGGATGGATGGTGGATCCTTGTGCCTGACCTTTTCGGACGGTCCTTCTTTTCTGTCATCATTTCATGATTATTAACCTTCAGCAACCAGGTGATGCTCGTATCCCTAATCGACCAGGGGGAGAGGATTAACTAACTAACTAACTAACTACTAGTGGACTATCGCGCTATGACGTTGGAGAGGCTGTGGCTGTTGGCAACAACATTCATATTATTATGATTCTGATGATTATTATTGTAATAGTAATAATCTTGTTCGAATTTCTCTGTTTCCCTTGGCGAGAAAAACAATAATTTCAATATCCACTTTTGGGTTGAAACTGGCACTACTAGTACTGTTTAGACTGTGACTGACTGACTGCCTGCCTGCCTTGACTCCCTCTTCCTCTCTCTCCCTTTGCCATTCCATTCCAATTCCCCATTTTCCCAAATGCTCATTCTGTTTCTCCGTCTCAACTGGTTCATCCTGCCGTGCTGACTGGTTGTGTGAATCCCTCCTTCTTTTTCCTCCTTTCATTTCTTTTTTGTTCCCTATCCTGTTTTTCTTTTTCCTCCTTTCGCGTGCTTATCCCGCCTCTTTCCTGGCTCACTGTCTCTCTCTCTCTCTCTGCCGCTATCAACGGGGACGGCGTTCGTGCATCGGTCGCCCTTGCATCCCCCATCCTTTCTCCTCCTGCTCGGGCTGTCCTGCTGCCACTCCTGTCTATCTCTCTCCCACACACACACACACCCTCCCTTGACATTTTCCTTTTTCTCTCTCGTGACTCTGATTTGCCTTCTTCTGCGTGAGCTTTTTGTCAACGTCCCCACTAAGACCAGTCAATTCCCTCACCGGCTTTCCCTTCATCACTCTCCTTCGGGCATCCGGTGCCCCTCGCCATTCTTCACCCTCGCGAAATCCCTCCCCTCCGGTCCTAAAACTAGTATTCTCCCTCAGCGCTGGCCCACTTGAGACACATACCCTAGTCCTACCTTTCGTCACTGATGGGGCTCGCGCCATCCTAGCGACTACCCTCCTTTCCCTCTCCTTATCGCCCTCTTATATCGTGCGCCGTCCCGCCCCGACGGCACTCCCTCTCCGACCATGGGTGTCTCCCCATCTGGCAATCATCATCGACGGCGGAGTTCAGTGCTAGCGGGCGCTTCACAGTCAGCTCCAATCGAACACCGGGACGATACTCCAAGGGCCATTGGAGACCCTGCTGGCTCCAAACGAGAGGAGCCCAAGTCCTCGCAGGCTGAGGACGCCGACATCTCCGACCTGTCCTCGATCGCAGAGAGCTTGGAAATGGATTATATTAGCTCAGACGACGACCTCCATGATGACGAAGAAACGGGTCTCACAGCGAAGCAGAGACGCCAGAGGCGCCGCAGAAGGCAGCAGCGTCGACAGTTGGATGCCCGCATCGCCGACGTCAAGGCCTCCAAGCACGATACATTACCCTTTGGATTCACAGATAGTGATGTCTTCAGGAGGCTGTCCATAAATGCGGGCTTGATCCTACTGTGGTATTTCTTTTCGCTGTCGATTTCAATTGTGAGTTGCTCCCGTGCGCGGATTTCATGGCTCACATGCTAACCCCCGTCGGTCTTGGTAGTACAACAAGTGGATGTTCTCCGATGACGATGTTGTCTTCCCTTTTCCCCTCTTTACCACGAGCTTGCATATGGCCGTTCAGTTTACCTTTTCATCCATTCTCCTATATTTGATACCCTCCCTGCGTCCGAAAGCGCCCGTTGCATCCACACCTACAGGTTCGCCCGTGAGCGAACATGACCCCCATGAGTCCCGACCGGTGGTCACCCGGTTATTCTACCTTACACGTCTCGTCCCCTGCGGTGCGGCGACTTCCCTCGATATTGGTCTAGGAAATATGTCCCTGAAGTTCATTTCCCTCACCTTCCTCACCATGTGCAAATCATCCGCACTAGCATTCGTCCTTCTCTTTGCCTTTGTTTTCCGCCTCGAAACCCCATCCGTCAAGTTGATCGTGATCATTGCTACGATGACCGTGGGTGTGGTCATGATGGTCGCCGGCGAGACCGCTTTCAATGCGGTTGGGTTTATCCTCGTCATTGCATCCGCCTTCTTCTCGGGCTTCCGATGGGGCCTCACGCAGATCCTCCTGCTACGCCATCCTGCGACGGCGAACCCGTTCTCGACCCTCTTCTTCCTTACGCCTGTGATGTTTTTCTCCCTAATCGTCATTGCGCTGGCGGTAGAGGGGCCATTGGAGATCATCGCCGGCTTCCAAGCCCTGGCGGCTGCCCGTGGAGGCCTGTTTGCTGTCTTCCTGCTGATCTTCCCTGGTATCCTGGCTTTCTGCATGATTTCCTCTGAGTTTGCGCTCCTCAAGCGCTCCTCGGTCGTGACGCTGAGCATTTGCGGCATCTTCAAGGAAGTCGTCACCATCAGTGCTGCCGGGGTCATCTTCCACGATCAGCTCACTGCAGTCAACATTACGGGCCTGGTGGTCACCATTGGCAGCATCGCGTCCTACAACTACATGAAGATCTCTAAAATGCGCTCAGAATCTCAAAAAGGCGCGTGGACACGGAGTCCTAACCTGGACTCTGAGGACGATTCCGATCCGACTGGGGAGCGCGGAGAGTACAGTCGGATCCGCAACCCGGAAACGAGCACTTTCCAATCTCCGGGCATCCATGTCGACGAGGACAATGTGAATATTACTCCTGAGGATGACTTGACCGCTGGCGGTCGGCGCTCATTCCGTGTTCGTGCCAGCGGCGCTAGCAATGCGCTCGGGTTAAGCATCAACACCACCAATCTCGGGGATCACGATAGAAATTTCTCCCCGCGAGTGTCGGCCCCCTCGCCCTTGAAATCGGCGCCCCCAGTCATCACTTCCCTGGAAGCTGAGCTTAACCGGACAGCTTCCGGCCCTAGCCTCGGTAGCAAGCCCCAGACATCTCCAGAACGGGCTTCACCGGAAGGACGCTCAGCTACCTAGACGAGTAATTCTGGAATAGCTGTTTCACGCATTTTCACCATGGTTCATGGGACCACTGGTATGGTTCGACCTGAATTTTGCTTCCCTCCTTTTCTTGATATCCCAAGACCCCTTTGTCGGTCTACAACGTCATGGCATCAGCGTTTGAGTTCGTCGATGGTCGCAGCACGTTTCTGATTTGGATGGTCCTTTTCATTTTATAACGGCGGTTCTGATCAGCATGCCTAGAAATCGGCATGTCTGGAGTACATTGGGCGTCCCGCACATATTGGCAGACGATGTCTGGTATAGACAGTGATTTATCGAGTGATACCATGTTATCTATCTCTTAGCTCTAATGGAGCTTAATCGCATTGCAGTCTACGTAATATCGATGTCGAAGTAGAACACTCTACTCCAATATTATATACCATTCACACATCATTCTGTTCATACATTTTAATACTCCATACGTAGTACTATTTCTCCGAACAACTCTGACACCCCTCCTCATCACTCCCCTCCCCATCACTCTCATCCTTCCCCTTCTTCCCCCTCGTAGCTTTCGTCTTCGTCTTCGTATTCCCCTTCGCCTTCCCACCCCCATTCATCATCTCCATCAACGTCTTCTGCCCCTTCTCCTTCTTCGCCGCCCTCTTCGCCTCCGCCTCCATCTTCCGCTCATACTGCTCCATCTGCTTCTCCCGCATCTCCCTCCCTTCCTCAGACAACTTCGCCTCCAACGCCCGGAACTCCTCGCCCTCAGGATCCATCCCAATCAACGACTCAAGCAGCGCGATTTCCCCCGCCCAGACGTTAAAATCCGGTACTAGCTTTGCAGCAGCTCCAGCCGGCTTCTTCTTCTTACCCTTGGAAGACCCGTCCCCTTCCTCCTTGATATCTTCTCCCTCGGGTCGATCAATCGGCGTCTCCAAGATCATGGGTAATCCCTCGAGCCGCGGCTCGTTCATGACGTTGTGGAATGCGCGGAGACCCAGGAATCCCGTGCCGATGTTGGCGTGTAAGTCGCGTTTACTCCCCCGCGGGGCTTTCGAGTCGTTTAGGTGCAGGGCGCGCAGGTATTGGAGGCCGATTACGTCGGAGAATTCTTGCATGAAGGAGGCGAAGCCTGATGGGGAGGTGAGGTCGTATCCCGCTGCGAAGCTGTGGCAGGTGTCGATGCAGATGCCGATTCGGTGGTGGTATTCTTGCGGGATTTGGGATAGGATGTCCCGGAATTCGTGTAGGTAGCCGCCTATTGTGCTGCCGTGGCCGCACATGGTTTCGAGGACCGGGGTCACGGTGCTGGTGGCGGAGAGGGCGGGGGTTAGGGCCTTTGCGAGTCGGGTTATGGCTGAGGCGTGCGGGGTTTGGTTGGCGCTGCCGGGGCTGTGGGGTTGGGGAGTTAGTTTGGAAGTTCTTTTGGGAGTTGGGTAGGGTGGTGAGGTAGAGGGTATAGATGTGGGGTTGTTGGGGGCGTACTGGAAGTTGTAGAGGGTGATGCCGAGGGCTTCGCAGCGGCGGAGGTCGTCGAGAAATGAGTCGTATGCTTGCTTGGCTTTGGTCTTGTCTTCTTGGGCTAGATTCACGAGGTAGGAGCCGTGAGGGAGGATGTGTCTGGTATGGTTAGATTGGGGTGGGTAAGTAGGTTGGTGTGGGTTGGTAGGCTCACTTTGCGCCGTCGTATTTGTGCTCGATGCAGAGATTGCGGAATTGGTCGCGGTGGTCATCTTGGAGGGCTGGATTGTCCCATTTCCGCTGGGACTTGAGGAATAGGGCAAAGGCGTTGCCGCTGGGAGGGATTAGTGATGGTTGGTTGTGATGGTGAGTGGACGTACCCGATGTGCATGCTATTGTGAACCGCGTTGAAGACGCCTGTAGCACAGCATTGTAAGCATCATATCAAGGCTGATTGTATCTAGTAATGCCAACCTTTGGCGGCGCTGACATGAGCGCCTACGCACATGCGCAGACCCTGCGCGCGCGCCCTCAATGGTACCATATCAACTTCTTCCTTGGTCTTTCTCTTCCTCGTAACCTTGGCCTTCACCTTCGGCTTCTCAGCCGCTTCTTCGTGCTTGACCTCGTCTTCGTCGTCAATGTCTGCTTCGACTGTAACTGTCTCTTCCTCCTCAACCTCCTTCTTCACCGAAACGACTCGACCACGAGATTTCCTCGGTGTCGCCTTGAGGCTCTCAGCAGATTCGGTCGGTGCTGTGCGAGCAGTGGATTTGCCAGACGGCGACTGCGTTCCGAGACCTTCGACGGATTTAACGCGCTTCGATCTTCGTAGCGGGGAGCTCTGTTCCTGAGCGTCGTCTGGCTTGCGCTTGTTGCCTCCCGGTTCGGGGGAGCGTGGCGGCTCAGTCGCCACTGCGGTTGAGGCTGCTTTTCGGGCACCGCGTGGAGGCATCGCAGCTTGTCTAGGGCACTTCAAGGACTATGAAGTCACCCGATCTGGCCAGTCGTTCTGGAATGGTGGGATGGCAGGCGATGGTGGGCCGTGAAAGACAGCAGGATCGGCCCGGCGGTTTGACGCGGTCGACGCGAGCGGGAATTGCTTGCTTGAGGCGATTGCTTGATTTGGATTTCCCACGCGTTGTATTGAGTGGGATATGAGATAATTAGACGTGTTTGGATATTAGTAACTGATTTGAATCACACATATATCCTAATAAGTTAGGGATTTTCTCAAAGAGCATCATGAACATCTCTGTAGCAGCGGCAGCGAATATTACCCGATATGGACTAGTTCCCATGTGACTGGTCGTCGAGGTAACGAGCCATAGTGGGACTAGCGGCTGTTTATCGATAAACTGCCCGAGTCGGTCAATCCCATTCATTCAATCTCCTCGAGTCCCTTTGCTTCATCTCGCCAGCCCACCATCTCGACATCTTCACCGCTATCATCGCAAAGTTACTACGACCGATCAATAACCACCCTCCACGCACTCGTTCTGATCCACTTCTCATCTTTATTTGTCGCCGCAATGGCGGCCAACGAAGACCACGTCAACTTCGACATCATCGAAGGCCAGAAGGAGAACATTCAGTCGCTACCAGGAGGCCGCTCAGCAAGAGAGTTGGCTCGCATCTTCTCTCCGCGCGAGTCTACAGACATCTTGGCTACACCGTCGCCAAATGATACCCGCACAGTGAATGATGGCATCCGCCAGGAATACGAAACAGAATTGCAGGCCATAGGAGAATCGGACGACCCACTGGATATTTACGACCGATATGTGAAATGGACGCTGAATGCTTATCCAACCGCCCAGGCTACAACTGAATCCGGCCTTCTGCCCCTCCTGGAGCGTGCCGTGAAACACTTCCTCAACTCCCCTCATTATAAGAACGACCCCCGTTACCTGCGCCTGTGGCTCCACTACATCAGACTCTTCTCCGACTCACCCCGCGAGACATTCGCTTTTCTGGCACGCCACCGCATCGGAGAAGGACTTGCATTGTTTTACGAAGAATTTGCGGCCTGGCTGGAAAGTGCAGGAAGATGGACACAGGCCGACGAGGTGTACCGGCTTGGCATTGACAAGGAAGCGCGCCCCGCAGAACGACTTGTGCGCAAATACAGCGAGTTCCAGCACCGCTACGAAAACCACACACAGGACAATGGCCCCTCATCGCCTGCCCTACCGGCTGTGCGCCCAGCATTGGCTGCCAAGGTCGACCCCTTCGCTTCGGCCTCTGCGGAAGAAGCCGATCCCCAGGCCCAGCGCCCAGCACCCGCCCGCAGCGCTGCCCCGAAGACGAAATCCGGCAAGCCGAAGATGGCGATCTTTTCCGATGCCGATTCACCCAGCCAACCAGCTGTCAGTGCGCCGGCACAAGGGTGGGACAGCATTGGATCGATGCATGACCGACGGAAGGAGAACAAGGTTGAGGCAAAGCCATGGGCAGGAGAGACTTTGAAGGCGGGGAAGAAGCCGGCACCGGCACAGAAGATGACGATTTTCAGGGATGAGGTAAGTTCAGGTTATTTTACCTACTCTTTCTGATTTCCGTATATTTACGATCACAGGACTAATTGGTGGCATGAACCGCATTGGTTTACGATTTATGTATTCAGTCAAATTCAAATTTACAAGCAAAAGAAGCATTGCAATCGAAACATGTTCCAGAGCATCGCGTAAGGGAAGCGGTTAACCCACGTACAGGGAGAAGGGAGCGCGTGTTCGTCAACCTCGAAGCAGTATACCCAGACTACAAGAACCCGAATCATGAAGTGAGCTTCGAGGAACTTAGAGCTATCAGCCGTGGCTGGATGGGCAAGAACTGGCGGGCCCACAAAGAGCCCCTCAAGCAGATCTCAGGCAATGCTGCTTCTGCGGAGATTCCCTCCGAGAACCCTCTTGAGCATGGCCTTGAAAATGACTTACCACAACAATTTAAGCAGAAGTTGACTGTCAAAGATGCAGAGACCCACGACCCCGAACGGGGAAATTCGGCCCAGGAAAGCAAAACCAACAAAGCGCGGAAGTTGAAGCTTCGTGAAGTGAAGGGAGAAACACAGACGAGTAAGTATCTACTTTGTCTCATTCCGTACTTAATGCTCTTTCATTCAGTGTCTTCTGTACTAATCCAATTGAAGTCAAAATGAAATTTGATTCGCCCACTGGAGGCAAGATTCGCCGCAAGAGCACTGCGGAGCCAACCATGACTATCCACACCCGCGCTGCAACAGACGAGATCTATAGCATCTTCAATCAGCCACTCAAAGCAGAGACCGAGAATGCAGAGAGTAGTGACTTCGATGACGATGATTATACGAGCGCTGGAGAGAGCACGGTCACTGGTCGCATGTCTGCTGCATCAAGCGACTTCGGCGATGATGATACAACCTTTCATAAGTCGTTTGTCGAAGGTGACGAGGATGGGTTCGAAGATAACACTCGCGCTGAGAGTGTGGCAGATGGAGAGTGGACGCAGTTCTCGGCTTGTGATGTGCCGAATCTGGGCGCTGCTCATTCACCTGCCATGCCGGAGGACTCCACATACCATGGCAGAGATAACACAGAGCAGTTCAATGATGCAGATGAGAATGGCGAAAGGCAGCGATTTGTTCCCCAAATGCCTGAAGATTACAATCCACCATATGGCCCTTATCGAGACCCCGCAATCATGGCTCAGAATCGACTGCCTTTCATGACACCAATCGTTGAACAGACCGAACATTCTTTGTCAATGACAGCAGCGAGAAACAGCCTCTATAATGCGAAGACGCCGTCGAAGCCCCCAATGGGCAATCTCTTGTTGTCGAGCCCATTGCTTCCTGCCACACCTCACCACGATGACTTCCCTGATATTCCTGAAGACGTTGCTCTCAGCCCCACGATGGAGAAGTTTCGAACAAGCTTCAAATTGAGCCCCCTGAAGGAAATCACTCAAACAGGAGTAGTTATCAAGGATGAGCTGTGCAACCCCACTGACAGGGATATTCGTAACACGATTCTTCGGTCATTGCAGCCTCCGCTGGAATCGTACCCTGGCTACCACGGCCACCCGGACATGGACACTCACTATGGCTCTGAGATACAGCGATACCTCAAGACAAGCCCAAAGCGTTCAAGAAGCGGGGATGAGGCATCTTTCGATGTTCCCATCCTTGAACTTCCAGGTGCTGAGAGAAGCTATATCATCAGGCGTGAGCTCGGTGCCGGTGCTTATGCGCCGGTCTATTTTGCAGAGAGCATCGACAGTCTACCTTCCGACTCGGAAACCGACTCCAACAACAGAGATTCCCACAACCCTAGTCCCATTCGATATGACACACCCCGTCACGGCTTCGAAGCGATCAAATTGGAGGTAGGACCACCCAGTGAGTGGGAGTTCTACATGATCCGCACGGCAAACGAACGATTGAGCCAGCATCCCGAATACTCCCGCGCCACTGAAAGTATCATCCGCGCACACGAGCTTCACGTCTACAAAGGAGAAAGCATCCTGGTCGAAGATTACCGTGGACAAGGAACATTGCTCGATCTCGTGAACCTCATCCGTAACGAGCCGATCTCAGCCACCACCAATGCCGAAGGTGGAATAGACGAAGTCCTGGCCATGTTCTTCACAGTAGAGCTCTTCCGTATCGTCGAATCCCTTCACTCCTGTGGCATCTTACACGGCGACATCAAAGCCGACAACTGCCTCGTCCGCCTCGACGACAAACCCGTCCCGCCTCCCTCCCTGATCGACCTAGGCGACGAGATCACCGCAGACCCACGCGAAATTCACTACTCCCCCCGGGGCCTCCACGGCTGGCGCAACAAGGGTCTCTCACTGATCGACTTCGGCCGCAGTATCGACATGCAAGTCTTCCAACCATCCGTCCAATTCGTCGCCGACTGGGAAACCGGCAAGCACGAGTGCAACGAGATCCGCGAGAAGCGACCCTGGACGCACCAAATCGACCTCTACGGCCTAGCAGGCACCATTCACGTCATGCTCTTCGGGAAGTACCTCGAGTCCATCCCCAGCGGCAATACCTCGGAGACAAAGACATACCGAATCCGCGAGTCTCTGAAACGCTACTGGGAGCGCGACATCTGGAACGACGTCTTCGACCTCCTCCTCAACCCCGGCGAAGAGAGATGGGCTCAACTGGAACGCGCAGGCCAAAACCCTGCCGCTATGGCCAGTGAGAACGGACCTATCCTCCCCGTGACAAACTCCATGCGACATCTCCGCGAGAGAATGGAAGCTTGGCTCTTCGCTAATGCAGAGAAGAAGGGTCTTGGATTGCAAATCCGGAAATTAGAGGCTATTTATGCGGAGAGGAGGAAGCGCTTGGAGAAGTGTTAATCCGAATGCTTCTTTATCCTTTGTTCGCCTTCTTTCACTGTTCCCCTTACAACTCCCACTCCCACCCCCTTTGTCCTTTCACTAATAATCCATCATCCCCCTTTCGACGATGCACGTGACACGTACGTACGCACTTTATACCCCCTCTTGTCTTTTTTCTATTTCTTGTGTTAGTCGCAGCGTTGGCGTTTGGGTTGTTGTTTCACATTTACACATGTGTACTTATTTCCTTTTTCTTATTTGTCTGTTACTATATTATAGTGGACTTTGGTCTGGATACATATGATATGATAGTTACATACATTGCATGTTATGCATTGTAGATTGTTCTGTTGTAGGGAGTTCGATGAGTTAGGGTTAAGTTGCATCTCATCTAAGAGACGAAGTCTTGGCAACGGTTTTACGGGGTGAGTTGTTACAGATGAAATGGACAGTCTCGCGATAAAGATAGATATGAAGAGACACTGCAGGGCATGCCAATATGTCCAGTGTAGGCAGTTGCGGATGGGGTCGGGTGGTATGGTAAGTATGCTCTATGTGAGTATTCGTTCGCTCGGACACTGCCGTGCGGTAATTCATTGGATGATACCAGTTCTGCTTATCATTGTTGCTTCAATACCATTATCCATATCCATAATGAGCTATTGTTCATTCTTGAAATTTAGACCCATGCAAAGATGCTATACTAAACAGCCGAGCTACAATGCAACCACAGTCGATAGTTTTACATATTGTTAAAGAAAGAAGAAATGTATTCTTTGAAAAAATAGAGATAGTAAGAGACATAATGAGAGATGTAGACAAGTTGAAAGCCAATAAAAAACATGCTTGACTGGAGCAAGACATGCTGAACAGATAGACAGACAACAATGTAAGTAATGGTCAGTAAGTAGGACGAACATGAGGCAAGTTCGAAGAAAAATGTCAGTTAAAGCAAGGCTGAAACTGTAAGCTAAACGCTGCAAAGACAATGGGGCGCTTTCCATAAGACGTCGTCACTAAGCAGCTGCCAAGTCGTGCGGATTCGTTTCATCTATGAGTCATTCATTCAATAGCGGCGTCTCTCCATTCCAATCATCACTGCGCATGCTTAATGGGGCATGCGAAAGGTTCATCAAGATCAAAGACGGATCGCACGGTAATGTTGAGTATTCAAATTCGATGGGAAGATATGAGAAAGAGATAAAGAGATGAAAAGAGATTGAAAGATAGTGGGTTGCCAGAGTTGGTTTATTTTGTAGTTTTTCGGTTTTCGGTGTTTCTGGCACTGTTTGTGATACTGTCGATGTTTGTTCAAAGAGTGTGTGGAATTCGGTATGTTGAGATAAAAGATAAGGAAAATCAGTGAGTGTAATGACCATCAACGTGTCTATAAACACTCCCCTGACAGGGAAGGTCTTGTTGTCGTTTGCGATTTTTCAAATGCCCCGGAGAGTGTTCCGACAAACATGCTGTATGGGTCAAGAGTAGAGAGGAGAACAAGAACACTGCGTAATAAACGACGGTCCAGTTCGGTTAGATGAGTCGCGGTTGGAAATCTGGTTCGTACACCTTTAAGCACCGTGGTGTACAGCTGAACCGCTGAAAAGCAGCGTATGCATGTGAAAGCAACTTCAAAACACTTTTTTTGTTTTTCGTTATTGTGGCCTGCTCTCTTTGCGCCTTATCATGCAATGTTGCTCCTCAACAAATGCAATGGCTCAGCACGAGAGAAGCAAGGGCGAAAGAGTCATCAATTCGTCAATGCCGTTTCTGTCATTATATCCTTTGATCAAAATGCGATCAAGATCACGGTAAATCATCCCGGTCATTAGTGTAGTAGATCGATGTGACGTTGACACATGGTGAAACAGAGTTCTAACAATGCAATATGCAATCTACTGCCTCGAGTACGGCATGTTCAGGATTTGCCTCCGAATGCGCTCCGCATCGGAAATGCCTTGCTCTGTCGGATCGTAAGGGAGCCGACTAGTCCTTTCTTCGTTCCTCAATTGACTGTTCGGACTCGTCGGCTGGAATTGTGGTAAAAGCCCGCTTGCGAACGGATCCGAAAGCGACGGCGCGTGTCGAATGCGTCTCGGTGACGGCGGAACTCGTTTGGGTGTTTCTACCTTGAAAGGGGAGCCCAAGCGCTTGATACTGTCGCCACCGAGATTCAGCATAGGATTGGCGATGGGCTTCCCGACCATGGGATCTTCGTCGTTCCGAGAGGACGACGATGGTGGGGAGAACAACTGGTCAAGACCTTTGTGGTTCACTGAACTTATCGTGGCTCCGCGGTTGCGAATGCGTATGCGATGCTGACCTAAATCACTGAGCTTTCCTTGACGGACAAGGTCTTCTAATTGCACCCGCGTATCTTGTTCTGCTGGCGATTCGCTGGCAGTGGCCACGTAAGAAGCCAGGTGATGATGGTCGACGTTCGCGAATGGCTCCATGCGGGGCGGAGAACGCAGCCGGGAGCCCGTTACATGGATGGTTTCTCGCCGAGCCCTAGGGGTATGACGCTGGGATCGCTTTCTCGAGGCATTGGGTCCCCAGGTGTTATACGTAAATGGCGATCCTAGCCGTGGCACGGGCTCTTGTCTAGGGGCACTACCAGGATGTATTGCAGGTGGCTCCGGGATGACTTGGCGAGGCGCACTAAGTATGGGATTATTGAACCATTCGCTGTTCATCTCTGGTGGCGAAGAGTCTTCCGCTGCCAGCTGAGCCAAAGGCCCAGGTACAGAGCTGGAAACAAGAGACACACCCAGATCGCGCGTCGCATAGGCTGTGCAGCTACTGGGAGGACCGACAGCCCTGGGGGGTTCACCAGACGGCTGGGACAACAAGTCCAGGGCTGGCGTCGGACTCCGGGATTGCATCATTCTCTGGTAGTGGGGAGCAATCGAAAACTTCTTTCTACACAGTAGTTTTAGCCTGCGCCGCGTCGATGCTTCTGACTTAGGCCAGGTAGGCTTCACCGCATCCACCTTGGGGGTGGGAGTAGAGTTGCTAGATGGACGTTGGTAGGAGAGCGTGAAGGGAAACTGTCGGTCGAGTCTAAAGCGCCTTCTCTCCCACGTCCGCTTGGCCTCCCGGGCAACACGGTGAGTGACGCCAAGCGGCGGAATGCTGCCCGGAGTCATTTTGAAAGGGGTAATGGTAGGGTCTTGGATGTAGAGCTGGTAAGTGTTCCATAGATGGTTGTCCATGTCCAGGGTCCATCGTTCCTTAGCATGCAGCATCCGTGTCTTATTCTTGCGCGTCCGACATAGAGAGGGCGTCTCCGGAGCCGGCTTTGGTGGAAGCTCCAGGTGGAAGAACGGGTCGTATGAATCGCTCTCCATGCTGGTACAACTTCCACCCGCTGAGCGCCGGGAGCCAAACGTTTCTATCGAGGAGACGGATGAATCCGATGCTTGCGAGCAGACGGAACTCGGACGTTGGATACTCTCTCCCAGGACCTGCGGGTCCTCCAGAGACCACGATCCGGTACTTTTATCCTCGATCGGGTCGGGGCGAATCTGAGCGGGAGGGGTTTTCATGGCCAGGCGATCCCGGGGCGGCGCTAAGAAACGGTCATCGCGGGAGGGTACTGCTGGACACGAGGGGCCCACGAAAGCGTCGTAAGAGGGGACTTCAATCGAAGGTATAGGGACGTCGGATGGGTTCGGGTTGAACGTGCTGAGGTCATATTCGGCCTGCGCAAAGACATCGGTCCCCGAGCGGACGCGGGACCTACGTAAGCGGCAACTGGAATGACGAGGGGGAGGCGGTGGCACATCCAGGTGATGTGTAACGCGCTCTGGTGTGCGAGGCTCGCCCGATGAAGAAAAGGTGAAGTTCTTCGGCAGGGTGCGCGATAGGCCGTGTGGTCGACAAGCCATGATGTGTAGTCCCGTATCGGTTCAACGACGGTTTGCTAGCTAAGACGGGGACCAGTGGTAAGAGGTAAGTGCGTTATCTTGACAATTTGATGCAACTTTCCTATACCACTGTCATGTCGCGAACCTCGAGAGCGATGCGAGAACTGGTGCCTGACGTTCCAAGTTAAGCGCGGATGGAGATAGCCTAGATCGCACGATATTGTCCAATTCGAGTGAAGCGCGCACACGGTATTCAGAGAACAACCAAACTCAACTATGGAAGAGTAAGGGGGAAGAGAAATCCAAGAGCAATAGAAATAAAGAAATCCGTTTCAGTCAATGGTGCAACGTCTGCGATCGATCTCCGAAGAAGGGTCGTCGACAAGGCGCGCTTAGGGTTTATTGGGGGGGGGGGGTCGTGAGTCGTAACAGGAGTTGAGGGGAACAAAACAAGAAAAGGAAAAACACGTCGAGGTGTGAGTGGTCGGATGGGCGAAAGCGATCGAATTCGTATGTTATTCGATGTGACGCGCAACGATGTTGTGCAGCGATGCGCTTTGGGGGGGTGGAATTGCGAGAGGATCACATCGAACGGGTACCCCAGAGGAGGGAACTATAGAAGATGGGGAGCCGACATTGGCACACGAACACGCCAGACCAACACAAAAGAAAAGGAAAAGGAAACGGAAGGGATGGTCGATGACGAGCGACAAGCTCGATCGGAGAAAAAAAGGAGAAGCGACAACGTGGCTGTCGAGAAAGAAGGGGGTGGGATGTAGGGAAGTAACGGAGGGAAAGGAAATAAACGGGGGGTGTGGAGGGAAGAAGAGAATAATTAGAAGAGGAAGAGTGAGAGGATGAGACAGCCGAGGGGGGGGGGAGGGAAAGGGAAGCGGTAGGCGCAAGAACCCGCGAACACTCACTAAACCTCCCAGCATCCAACTGCTAACTAACTAACTAAACTGAACTGTTCACCAGCGCCTTTTGGGTAGCGGAACTTTGCTGTGGTCTGCTCGGTGGCCGCGACAGGGACGAACTACTAGTCAACTTCCTTCTGGCTCCACCTTTTTTTCCCTTCCAGCAGGCCCGGAGATCACCACGTCAAGCCCATCAGGGCACCAAGTGGCCTCGCCGGTGCGCTGTTCACGGGCAACCTTTCCTATTCTCGCTAATCGAGATCGTTGTCATGATGTTCGTTAATAGGTTGGGGATGACACACTCTCAACCATGATCATTCTCAAATGCCACAGCTGCCAATTGCCATCATTATTGATCGTGAATCAAATCTGAAGGGAAAAAAAAATAATGGATCAGAAAAATGGGAAAATTTTCGAAAAAGGAAAACCAGACAGGGCAATTGGAGAGTCGCGACTGCTCAGGAATGCGGAGAAAGTCGATATGCTGCGTTTCCTCGTGAGCCACTCAGCTGCATTCTCTCTGCCTTCTTTTTTATTTTTTCATGCAGCTATTTCTTTTTTCTATTTTAATTTTTCTTTTTTGAATTCTTCCTCCAATTTCATTCCCTCGCTTCCTCCTTTTTTTTTTTTTTTTTTTCTGTCATTTTTCCCTGTTTTCTGGCCAACGTTGGTTCAAACCGGAAGAAAGAGACTAACCAGTAGTAGTACTCTTCTATCCTATCCATCCAGATCAAGAACCTTCGAGCACTCACACAATGGCCGTCAAACTCAGTGGCACACTTTTCCCTCTCACCCTCTCATTCTCGGGGGCTGGTCCATAGTAAATGCTGCATCCCTCTAACCGCCTCACCGCGTTGCCCAACGATCCCTCGGGACGGGCAGAGGATTCACGCCTGCAGCCCGTCGACAAATGGCAGCCATCCTGATGGAGTCGCCCCAGTGGCCCCAACAAGATAGTCCAGAATCATCATAAATTAATCTCTTTATATGGGGACACACTAGACTCATCAGTCTGCCGTACCTTTTGCACGGGCTGCAGGACCTGCGATCCAGAACAGTAATAGCTTAGCTTACCAGTCTAGATCAATTAGACTGGGCTGTGCCTCGTTCATCCGTGAGTTACTATACTTGCAACGTTGCGTTCCCTTCCCCCTCCTCTCTCTCTCCTTGAACTGCAAGGGTACCGAGAAAGGTATCCTCAATGCAGACTGAGTGCAGATGGCTCACTTGATCATTGACCATCCTCGCCAATAATTTCCCTCCATTGCCTTGGGATTCATCACAATTCCCGTGCACCCGGTAGCACCAGCACACTAAGCAGCAATCTCACCTCCAAGGATAAGAGGGAAAAGTGACCTACCTGATCCTTCTTCATCTAAGTGTGGCCCCATCGATCTACACGCAACGTTCTCTAGCGAGCAAGACCGACTTCCACCCATGACGGGACCGTGTGATCCAACCCATCCCGGTGGCTGGGAGGGAGGTGATAGAAAAAAATGATTGAATAAAAAAAATAAAGAATAAAAAAAAATCATTTCTCTCCCGCCCCCCAATCAACAATGTTGGCGAACCAGGAATTCGGGGGCGGCGTCCCATCGGTGCTTTCAGCAAGGTGGCCTCGAGTGAGTACCTCGATCAAATTGATCATGGTCATGGTCATGAACTCCAGTCACCTGCAGAAGCGGTTCTCCACCGCCTGGGAACGAATCGAACCCCGACGCACTGGGCATGCATTAGCACCCACCGCCCATCAACCAGTAGTATCTTGCCCACTGCAGCTTGGGCATGGAATTGGAAAAGGCACCACGCCTCGCGGACGGCCCGAGAATGATCGAAACAGAGGAAAGAAGAGTCATGGAGTGGAATATTCTTTACGACCTCAATCCACAAAGTGGTCCCAGTACACTGCTATATACTCCCGTGGTTTTCTATCTCTCAATGCCATACTCTCCCTCCTTCATGAAAGAAATCTAGTACTATATTCCCGCAACAAAGACAGACCGGGGCACGGCACGGCACCTACTATTGAAGCACACCTCTGCACGTTCATGTCAATCAATTCGCTTATCGCCATTCG